TGCACAAATATCATCATTGTTAACATGCTATCCCTTTGAACAGCCATTTCAAAGTTAGAATTACGATAGTCAGAAACACAATGGGGTTTTTAGCATGATCTGTAAAGTAAAAGAACACCTCCCAAAGAATAACAAGGTCAAAATGGTTACAGGAGCAATCATTTTCATCACTTTCCGCTCTCTCCTGCGTGGATACAAATCTAATTTTCACAATATTTTAACATTACCCTTTATCCATAACATAAAAAGAGTTAGTAAGGACATAGCCTGTTATTGGGTGTTTCAATTCATCTGGACAATTGCGATGCCTTCACGTTTTACAATTGCAGGTTTTGAAGCATTCTGTATATCTGTAGGAAATGACCCTAATTTTCACAGCTTAGCCTCTTGCAAACAACTTCAATCGATGTAACATTAGAAAGCCAAGTGATTCATGGGAGAGATTCTCAATCAAAATTTGACATCAAACTAAGTTACGAGATATTTGGATAGCTAACCAACAGTTTGATCTAAGAGTGGAGCTTTAAGAACAGCATCTTAAAGGAGAAATGCAAGGTTAGGAGATATAAACAGGGAATTCTCGAACTTACAGCCATGGCAGCTTAAAGCATGATGCCGAACGGTGTATCTATGAAAATCAGATATGAGCAAAGGGTCAGGTTTGGAGGATACAGATCTGAGGATTATAGGGCTTGAGGAGGTTAATGAAATAGAAAGGAGAGAGGCCACTGAGGGGTTTAAAAACAATGAAAACTTTAAGATTGAGGCAACTTATTCAGGCCAGTGAGTAGAGGCATGATGGATGAATGGAACTGGGTATGTTAGGAAACAGCAACATTTTCTCAGAGGCCACAGATACCCTTCAGACATCCAGATCAGCATAATGAATTTAAACAACAGGAAGTGTTGGTTGGCTGCCATTACAAATCACTCAGCTGTTGCAGTTCTCAGTTCTTTTAGGTAAAACCAAATTTGCATTACAGATCAATTAAGTACTTGCAACTTAGCTAGTGAAAACATGCCATCCATGACCTTAGCCGTCTTATACTAACTGAACTACAATGTCTCCTAATTTGGCGATGACTTCATATTTGAAGTATCACCCTTGTTTTCAGAATCTGCCAACGGCCTCAACCCTCCCCACCTATAACCTTCAGCACCCCGACAACCCTCGGAGAGCTCTCTGTTCCTTCAATTTTGATGTCTGTGCATTCTGGATTTTCACTACTCTGACAATGGCAGCCATGCCTTTAGGCATCTGGGTACTAAACTCTGGGATTTTCTTCCTTAACCTCTTTACCCTTCTCTCCTCCACTACAATACTTATTTTAAAATTATTTAATTGTGTCTATTTCATTTAGTGTTTTTGAGGTCAAAGTGAAATCAGAATCCTGCTCCAGGCTTAACTTTGTGCACGTATACAGAAGTCACTTCAGCAATCCAGCTACATTTAATGTAATTATGGTAGTTAATCGCAGTCATTTACTGATGGCACAGGTTCCCTTTGAACCTCCCATGTAGTTTAGACATCCAGAAAAATGCTGAAGAATATTTCAAAGTATGCTTTTATGGTCCCACCTCCACTTCCCTCACTTGCCACAACTGCCAATGTTATCTAAATAGCAAACAGTGCTATTTAGGTGGATAGAAGAATATCACCAACACTGGCACAATTCAATAAGGTGGGAGGTTATTAGCAAGAAAAGCCACAGAATCGACCAAGTCAAATTCACCCCCCCAAATTCCTCCGATCTTCATTTCACAATATTGAATAATAAAGCAGTACCTCATTCACTCATCACTGCGGGGGACAGGGAATGAAAACATTCTCCCTTGCTCTCCCACCAGCTGCAGTCTACGAAAACTCTTGATCCACAGTTGAAAAGGTCTAAGACCAACAGATTGGTTCTCAACTCCTGTCTCAATTGTCCCTCACCACATTCAGGCCCTCACTCTCATGTTGCACTGGAGTAGTGCTGTTGTAAAACACTGATCTGTCAATACTGCTTGTTTTCATGCAAATGAAGTGGAAATATAAGATGCATATTTTCAGTTGTGTATTCAAAGAAGTCCTAATCCATACAAACATACGAATTAGGGGTAGCATTTTTATGCTGTTGCCATCAAGTGAAGTCACATGATAATACTTTACTGTTGGCTTTGTTGCTGGAAAAACAAATAGCTCAAAAAAGGAATCAATTTCAGTTAACCTTAATTTAAAGGTTAATATGATCTTCAAATCACTTTTCACAACCACGGGACACCCAGAAGTGTTTTACAACCAATGGAGTTTTTGAAGGGCAGTTACTCTTGTAACACAACAACCAATTTGTACACCGTAAACACCCAGAAACAGCAATGCAGTGATGACAAGAAAATGTGTTTTAACGCTTGGCTGTAGGATGAATATTGAGCAGGTACTCACAGAGAACTTCCCTCGTCCATGTCAAATAGCACCATTAGACTTTTTCAAACCGACCCAAGTAAGAGGAAAGAGTCTTAGTTTAATATCTCATCTGAAAGATGGGACTTCACCAAGTACTGTATTAGAATTGTCAATCTACATTGTTGTCTGGGACTCAAACCAAATACCAGACTGAAAAACAAGACTGTATGGCTGATACCATACAAAAGAATAGAGATTTCTGTGGTAAACAACTTATATTGATACAGTACCTTAAATGTAAAGAATGCACCAGGGATCTACATTAGCAGCCAGAAAAGATTGCGCTTATGCAACCAGAAAGGGTGATGAAACGTTATGAAGAACTGGTAGATGGAAATGTTCCACAAAGGTAAGACAGAGTGAAGAATGCAGAAGATGCCTGCATTAAATCAATGGAGTGAATTTACACGGCCGAATGAGATTACTGAGTTGAAGCAAGTGATTGAAAGATGAGGGTTGAAATTAAACAAATTTGGCATTGCAAAATAGTGAGAGCAAATTGAGGGCTGCATTGGGACTGACAGAAGCAAAAAGCTTGCACTGCTAAAACATCTTTTGCCTTAAGAAGCTTTGGCTGTTGTATAATTTCTGCAAATCATTTTCACTTGTGGTGGGAGAGTCCAAGAATAGAACCATTACCAACAGAATCACCACAAATAAGTTCAAAAGAAGCCCAGGAAAATTGTTAGCCACAGAATGGTAAACAGCATGAAGCATTTTGAAATATTTTAGTGATTCATGGAGAGAAACTGTTAAAGTCTGGAATTCCCTCCATAAAACTCTCCTCCTTCAAGATGTTCCTATAAACCTAACCCTTCGACCAACCTATCTTAATATCTCCTTATGTAGTTCAGTGTCAAATGTTGTTTGACCACAATCCTTTGATGTTTTATTATACTAAAAGCATGATAGAAATTTAAAGTTGTTTTACTGAAACTGGATAATAGCATGATGGACGAATATGTTGCTGGAGGGTGATGAAATTGGTTAGGGCGAAGCTAATGGAGAGCATAAATAAGCAGAAGCATGAGCACAGTGGGATGGTGGCTCAGTTGTTAGCACTGCTGCCTCACAGTGACAGGGACCTGGGTTCAATTCCAGTCTCAGGCAACTATCCGTGTGGAGTTGCACATTCTCCCTGTGTGTGTGCGTGGGTTTCGTCCAGGTGCTCTGGCTTCCTCCCACAGTCCAAAGATGAGCAGGTTAGGTGGATTGGCCATGCTAAATTGCCCATAGTGTTCAGGGAATGGGCCTGGGTAGGATGCTCTTTGGAGGGTTGGTGTGGATTCAAATGGCATGCTTCCACACTGTAGAGATTCTATGAGAATTCTGAACCGCCTTGATGAGAGATCTGGAGAACTGCTTCCTTCCATAATCTTTCAATTTCTGATATTACGAGAGTTCACAAAAAAGTGGTTGCTTCAGTTACAATCAAAGGTTCAACCTGTGTGTGCAATCAATTCATAGCCTGATTGTATGCAGGATGTGTAATTTATTCATCTCATGATCTGCTATATTCTGTAACTGTATAGACTGGGAGCTTTCAACACAGTCTCAGTCAGCTGGTTACAGTATCCCAGGAGAGCAACACTTCTGTCACCATTACCTCATTGCACATGAACTGACGCCAAAATCAGCACATACATCAGAGGCAAATATAATTTAAAAGTCAATGAGAAGATAAATAATTAATAACCCACAGCTCCTGATCCACCACAAATTAATACCTCATACTGGCCCACTCTTGTTTCCCTTTCTCCACTATTCTCTCTGTGGGAATCATTTCCTTCTTGTGTTCTAATTTACCCCCCTCTTCACCCAACTCCTCTGCACCTCCTCTCCCATCCCATTTCCTCCCTGATATCACTTCTCCTCTCAGCTTGTGTATCCCACACTTTAGACCTCTGCTATTCCTTCTCACAACCATCTCCTTTACCCCATGTTCCACCAACTCTCCTAAGGGCTCTTGTGGTACAGTGACAGTATCCCTACCTTTAAGCCAGGAGGCCCAGTTTCAAGCACCACTTGCTCCAATGATAACATCAAGTTGACGGGGAAATCCCATTCTTCTATCACTGCTCCCTACCGACCCGACTGCAGTTTCACAAAGCAGGAGAGTGGTTTCTCCTCCCTATCTATACCTCAAATTAACCACAAATTTCATCCCCTATCTTCCAGTCCTCTCTTTTACCTCATTCTCCCCACTATCTTCGCCTCAACATTCCCCACTCTAAACCTACTCTCCCCATTCCCCTCTCTCCCTCATCACACCCAACTTCATTTCTCATTACGCAGCCTCGCCCCTTCTCCAGCTCCCACCACACACCCCATCACCACATTCACTCGCTCCTACCAAATTCTCTCTCTCCTCCCCCCCACACTTCCTACACAGCACACTCCCAACCCTCGTCCCTTAGCCTCCTCCCCCCCGCCTTCTCCTCACACTCCCTCTTCTCGCCCGGCCACTTCATCATTTCTCCTTTAGCCCCATCCCACCCACTCTGTCACGTCCCTGTCCGAATTCTCCCTCCCCTGGGCTCTCAGCTCCCGCTACCTGACTCCGCTTCTTCTGTTTGCGCCGCTCCGCCATCTCCCCGGCCGCAAGTGACGTGTAACGGGGCAACCAAACATCGCGAGAGTCATGACCGGGCATCAACAGCATCCCCTGCCGACCTAGGGGAGGAACTACACCAACAACGTCAACTACGGCCCAGGAGGGTGAACCCGACACCAACAACGTCACCTACCGCCCAGGAGGAGGAACTACATTTACTCTGCGCCTTGCCGCCCAAGGCGAACTACATCAATGCAGCGCCATGCACACCAGGAGGTGATCTATACCAACAGCGGTCCCCTGTCGCCCAAGAGGTGGAACTGTACTAACACTGTCCTCTGCCGGCCAGGATGTGGAATTGCGGCTTCGCCCCCATCCAGCTGCCCAGAAGGGAGAAACTATAGTGACACCGCTCTGTGCCGCCCGGGGGAGGAATTGCAGTCACATTGGCCTCTTCTGGCCCAGAGGCAGCTGCAGTCTTATTTAATCATGGGATATGGGCGTCGGAGGCCATTGCTCGTCGCTAGTTGATCTTTACACAATGGTGGTTAGCTGTCTTCATGAACTGCTGCAGTTCATGCGCTTTAGGTCGACGACAGTGCTGTTCCAGGCTTTTAACACAGCGATGCTGAACGAACAGCAAAAGATTTCCAAGCCTGAATGGTGACTGGCTTGGTGGGGAACTAGCTGGTAGTGGTATGCCCTTCTAGATCGAAGTAGTTGTGGGTTAGGAAGGTGTTGTTTAGAGAGATTTGGTAAATTTCAGCAGTTCATCTTGTACGTGGGTACATACTGCTACTACTGAATATAGTGTGCTGGCTGCTTTGGTCACACTGCCATCTCCTGCCCAGAAAGGGTAAACTGAAGTCACACTGCTCCCTGCTGTCCCCACGATGGGGGACTGCAGTCACAAGATCACTGGCTCCCAGGAGGGCGAGCTGCAGTCATCCTGTCCTTGATGCCAGAGTCAGGGGTATCTGCAGCCATTATGCCCCCTGGCACCAAGAACAAAAACTGCAGCACAATGTCCTCTGCCACTCGGAAGGGGGAACTGCAGTTCTCTCACCACCTACCACCCACTAGGAGCAACATCACATACCCCACTACCTGCTGCCCGGGATATTGAACTGCTACCTGCCATCACCTGTCAATATTGCAGATAAACTGCCACCTGTGGATTGAGAATGCTTGAGGTCCATGACCTTTCAACATGAAACTGAATGCATAGTTCCCTTTCCAAAGAGTTGGTTGCATGTATTTCAGGAGGTTTCACCATGGGGCATCATGTCTTCAACTGCCTGCCCAAACTGTAGCTGAACATACCAATTAGAAAGCTATTCAGATACTTGGCTAAACGTAAAGTCATACAACACAGAAAACAGACCTCTTGGTCCAACTCGCCCACGCTGATCAGACATCCCAATCTGACTTAATCCCATTTGCCAGCATTTGGCCCATATCCCTTTAAATCCTTCCTATTCTTGCTCCCATCCAGATGTGTTTTAAATGTTGTAATTGTACCCATCTCCACCACCTCCTCTGGCAGCTCATTCTGTACACACACCATCCATTGCATGAAAAGTTACTCCTCAGGTCCTTTTTAAATCTTTCCCCTCTCGCCATAAACCTATGTCCTCCAGTTTTGGACTCCCTCACTCTGGGAAAAGACCTTGGCTATTCACCCTATCCATGCCCCTCAAGATTTCTTTTATGTATCTCTGAAGGTCACCACTCAGTCTCAGATGCTCCAGGTAAAAGAGTCCCAGCCTTTTTCAGGCACTCCCTATAGCTCAAGCCCTCCTATCCTGGCAAAATCTTTGTTAATCTTTTCTGCACAACCTCCTGTTTAACAACTTCCTTCCTATAAAAGGGCAACCAGAATTGTACACTATATTCCAAAAGTGGCCTAATCAATGTTGTGTACAGCCACAACATGACATCCCAACTCCTATACTCAGTGTTAATGACTGATGAAGGCAAGTATGCCAAATGCTTTTTTCACCACCCTGTCTACCTGTGACTCTACTTTCAAGGAATCATGCACCTGCACCCCTAGGTCTGTTTGTTCAGCAACACTCCCCAGGCCCTACCATTAACTGTATAAGTTGTGCCCTGGTTAGCCTTGCCAACATGCAATACTTCACATTTATCTAAGTTAAACTCCATCGGCCACTCCTCGGCCCATTGACCCATCTGATCAAGGTCCCATTGTACTTTTAAGATAATCTTCTTCACTGTCCAGTACACCACTTATTTTGGTGTCATCTGCAAACTTACTAACCAAGACTCTTACATTCACATCCTAATCATTTATATAAATGATGAAAAGCAGCAGATCCAGCACTGATCCTTGCAGCACAACACTGGCCACAGGCCTCCAGTCTGAAAAATAACCCCCTATCACCACCCTCTGTCTCATACCTTCAGGCCAATTTTGTATCCATTTGGCCAGCTCCCCTGGATCCCATGTGATTTAACCTTACTAACAAGTCTACCATGCGGAACCTTGTCGGACACTTTGCTGAAGTCCATATAGAAATGTCTACTGTTCTGCCTTCTTCAACCTTCTTTGTCACCTCTTCAAAAAACTCAATCAACTTAGTGAAACACAATTTCTCACGCATAACATCATGCTGACTTATCCATAATCATTCCTTGCCTTTCCAAATGCATGTAAATCCTGCCCCTCAGAATCTCCTCCAACAATTTACCCACCACTGATGTAAGGCTCACTGGTCTATAGTTCTCTGGCTTTTCCTTACAACCTTTCTTAAATAATGGCACCACATTAGCCAATCTCCCGTCTTCTGGCATCTCATCCGTGGCTATCGATGAATAACTTCTTTTCGTGTTCAATCTTTTTAGAATTAGTAAAAGAAAATTGACAAAAGGAATGAAGGAAAGGTCAGGAAAGAAGCTGTAAAACTTGAAAAGGTTCAGACCAGATTTACAAGGATGTTGCCAGGGTTGGAGGGTTTGAGCTTTAGGGAGAGGCTGAAATGGCTACGGCTATTTTCCCTGGAGTGTTGGAGATTGAGGGGTGACCTTGTAGAGGTCTATAAAATCATGACGGGCATGGCCAGGGTGAATAGCCAAGGTCTTTTCCCCAGTGTGGGGGAGTTCAAAACTAGAGGGCAGAGGAGAAAGATTTAAAAGGGACATAAGGGGGCAACTTTTTCATGCAGAGGGTGGTGCATGTATGGAATGAGCTGCCAGAGGAAGTGGTAGAAACTAGTACATTTGCAACATTTACAAGGCATCTGGATGGGTATATAAATAGGAAGCATTTAGAGGGGTATGGGCCAAATGCTGGCAAATGGGACTAGATTTATTTAGGATATCTGGTCAGCATGCATGAGTTGGACTGAAGGGCCTGTTTTCATGCTGTACATATGTATGACTCTATGAGATGGAGTTCCTTCCCTAAGCCTCTCCACTTCTTGCTGTTTTTTTCCTCCTTGACACCTACCTGTTTGACTAAGCTTTTTGTCGTATGAATTTACAAATTAGGAGCAGGACTAGGTTATTTGGTCGCTGAAACATGCTGTGCCATTCAATAAGATCATGGCTGATCTGGTGTGGATTCAACTCCACATTCCCACCTACACTTGATATCCTTTAATTCTCTTATTCGCCAACAATCTACCTGCTTCTGCCATAGAAACGTTTACCTACTTTGATAGCTCCTTGTAAGGCTTATCTCCTATGTGTCAAATTTTGATTCTGTGATGCCTTCAGACACTTTGTTAAAGATGTAATAAGTTGGTGTACGGATACAAGCTGTTATTGTTTGCTCTTCTCCAGGTTGATTGCAACAGGGTCCTTGAGAATAATGTTAATTCCTACAGAGTCCAGGGCAAAACTGGTTTTTATAGAGATAACCAGAGGATGCTGCTTGGCCTGCTGTGTTCATCCAGCTCTCTACACCTTGTTATCTCAGATTCTCCAGCATCTGCAGTTCCTACTATCTCTGGTTTTTATAGAGATAGTAGGAACTGCAGATGCTGGAGAATCTGAGATAACAAGGT